GGGACGCTCTCTCGGCGGCTCCGGGGGATACCCAAGTGTTTCCCTCCCCACACAGGCTCTGTTGGCCCCACGTCCAAGCTCGTCCACAAAATGGAGCCAGGGGAGGAGTCGCGTGGCGAGGTCCCCCAAGGAGAGCGGGGCAGAGGAATTCCCGACACCTCTGCTCTCGGTGAGTGGCGTTGGGTTTCCCTCTCTGTGCGTGGCCCCAGCAGATGAGAGTGGAAAACCGGTGCAATTTTAGCACCAAACTGTAGCATGAGACCGAGATGGCTCCAGCCAGACCCTCACAAGGCCCTGTCTGAAATCTTGACTCATTTTTGTGCCGGGTGTCTGCTGTTTCGCCTCAGCCCCTGGGCCGGTTTGTCCCGGGCGGTTGCAGTGGGTGAGAGGAGGCTGCAGGAGCGTCACAAACTTCCCCTGCACCCGAGCGAGGGCCGGTGCTAAATGTGTTGGGTCTTCAGTGGGTTTGTGTTAGGTGCCCAGCTCTGGGATGAGTCCTTGTCCCCTTCCCACTGTGATTGTTGGCTTCTGCTCCCAACAGCTGGCTGGGACATGACCACTGCAGAGGACCTGTCTGAGGAAGACCATCAGAGACACTGGGTCCCACGTGCCTCTCCAGATGGTGGGCCAGAGGGGCTGGCGATCAAATACCCCAAGCTCTGTCCTAGCTGGTGTGAGGCAAAGCCTGGGGCCTGGGCAGGAGATGCTCCCCAGGAGCTCCCAGGGTGGGACCGGAGGGAGCTGCTGTTGGACATGCTGGAGGCAGGGAGTGAAGGACTCCTCATCTGCGGCACCTGCGGGAAGAGCTTCGAGGATGAGGCTACCCTGAGCGTGCACCAGCGTGAGCACCTCCGCCCGGTGCCCTCGTACGAGTGCACAGCCTGCGGGAAGGTCTTCCGCCACCACTGCAACCTCCTGACGCACAAGAAGCACCGAGGCAGAAGCCGCCACGCTTGCACAGAGTGCAGCAGGACCTTCTGCTTGAAAGGGGACCTCCTGCGGCACCGGGCAGGCCACGCGGGCGAGGGTGGCTACGTCTGCCCTCTCTGCGGGGAGAGCTTCCGCCACAAGCGCAACCTGCAGGCGCACAGGAAGGGGCACGCGGAGGACGCGCTCCACAAGTGCCCCGAGTGCGAGAAGCGCTTCCAGGACGAGGCCAGCCTGAGCCGGCACCGAGCCACGCACTGCGAGGAGCGGCCGTTCGTCTGCGGGCGCTGCGACCGCAGCTTCAGCTGGAAGGAGAGCCTGATGATCCACCAGCGCAGTCACACCCAGGAGCGCTCCCACAAGTGCCCTGACTGCGGCCGTAGCTTCAGCCGCAGCGGGAACCTCTTGGTGCACCAGCGCGTGCACACAGGCGAGCGTCCCTTCGCCTGCGCCCAGTGTGACAAGACCTTTTGCAACAAGGCCAATCTCATCACGCATAAGAAGCTCCACCGGCGATTCAAGTCCTTTGCCTGCTCCAAGTGCCGGCTAGGTTTCAGCTCCAAAAGCAAGATGCTCTTGCACCAGCGGGCGCATGGAGAGGGGGACAAGGTGACCTACGGGGCAGGGGACAACCCGCCGGACTTCCAGCAGTAGCTGGGGCTGCTTTTGAACAAGGCCGGGGAGTTTGCCTGCACGTGAAGGGGCCCTAAGGGCTGCAGCGGGACATGAGGGGGGTCTTGTCCTGCTGGCTGCCAGAAGTGACCTTCCCTGGTATTTGATGCATCCTTACAGGGCCTTGGTGCAGTGCAAGTTCAGGACCTCTGAGCCTTGCTCTCCTCATCACCTTCAGACCTCTAAGAAATCCCTCCAGGGCATTCTCCCGTTTACCTCATCCCCCCACACTTGCCCTGCCCCATGCATGCCCAGGAGGCAGTGTTCTCCCAGGAGCTCTCAAAGAGTTGTCCAGGGTTGTCTTGTTGTCATTGTTTATATTTAAAGCCAGAAGAGATTTATGTGAGTGTGGAGTCTGATCTTTTGCAGCAAAGGTGGAAAGACCTGGTGTTGTTCGGAGTCCCCGACCAGCTGCACTTAAGGGAGGGCAGCCCAATGGTTAGAGCACTGCGCTAGGCCTTGACAGTGGGGCCGTGTCCCTTCTGCCCAGGCAGCTTTTGGCCCTTGGCTTTCCCCTTAGGAGGGGTACCTTCTCCTCCCCCCCTCCTGGCTGCTGGAGGGCAGGAGGTGGGCTGGGTGACTGGGCGGCACCCAGGGCTCCTGGAGCGGCCTGTTCCCCTGCGGCTCTGAGCAGTGTCCTGCCCCGTGACGTCTCCCCCGAGCAGTGCTGTGTGCGTGGGGAGGCTCCTTCGGCTGCCACGCGTGGGCCCTCCGCGGCCAAGGCGT